TTTTTTTTTTTTTTTTTTTGTATTCATTCGTTTTTTTTTTCTTTTTTAATATTTCTTTAATGTTTCCTTTTGTGTGTGCGAAAAGAAAAGAGAAAAACGAAAAGGTAATGTTAAGTTAAATTGTTGAATAGTGGTATTTAAAGTTGTTTCCACTCGTTTTATTCCTGTGAATAACAGTTTGATTCGATATTACTATCACTGTTGTTGGTGATTCTTAGTATTACGATTATTATTATTATTACTATTATTAGCTGATTCCGAAAAATCTCAAAATTAATTTATTATTATTGTCTTATTATTATTATTATTATTATTATTATTATTATTATTATTTATTATTATTATTATTATTATTATTATTATTATTATTTTATTATTATTTTTTTTTTCTTCTGCTTTTCATATTTTTTTTTTTCATTTGAACGACAAACAAATTGGTTGATCAAAATATGATAATTGATCATTGATGAATTACGTTACAGTATAGTAACTTTTAGTGTCAATCAATCGGAACGATTACCAGGTTTTTTTTTTCTTCTTTGCTTTGTTGATTGCTATTAATTGCCGAGACTAATTGTTGGTGAAGCTTATGGGTATACCAGTTTGTTGTATGATTTATGTGTATATTGTCTGCGCATTTAGAAGCATTGTTTTTTTTTTTCTTTTAGATTTTTTGACGAAGTGGAAGATGATCAATGTGCTATTGTACGTTGAGGGTTTCAGTATCTGTTTATTAACTGAGAACATTTTTGTTTTGTTTTGTTGTTGTTGTCGTCGTCGTTTTTTTTTTTATGCTTATTTCAACTGTGCTCTATGCGTCTGATGAAGTGGCGGTTGATGATCTTTAATCATACTAAGTTTTAATTCCAGGATTATTTTTTACATCTCTGTTTTTGTTTTGACGCAAGTGACAATTGAAACGCTTGAATGGTATAATTTTGATGATGATGCTATCACCACCATTACTACTTCTACTACTACTCCTACTGCCGCTGCTACTGCTTCAAATGGTTCATTGATACGGTAGAAAGGTTTAGGAGGTGCTATTTAAATGTAAAGCTGTTTGTTTATTTGTCTATTTATTTGTATTGATCTTATTTGTAGACGAATATTTTTAGTTTTATCAATTTATTATTTTGTTTTTTACTACATGACTTTATTC